TGCCTGCATTTACCATCTTCAGATGGCCACCATTGACGTTTTCTGTATATGTGTGTCAGGCATCTCTATGTAGACTGATAATCACAGAATGAAATTTCCTGTGATGAATTATTTATGTGTACTGTTGTATTTGACTACTTTAAAATAGAACTATTATCACTTCTGGGCATTTTGGCTCAGATCAAGTGTAAAATAGAATTATTATGTAACCTGCTGTTTCTTCCATACAAACATTTAATTCTTATACATCAGATACTTTCTTGTTAATTCACTTTTTAGGTGAGCATGCAAAGTAAGGGATTCATCATGCCATCTTTTTACATATGTGTCATTTTACATTGTTCTCATTCCCCCCCCCACTATGTGGCATGCAGGTGGAAAATGGAGAACTGGGGGTACTCCCTGCATACAAGTAGGGAGGCAGAACAGGAAGATCTGGAGAGGAGTGAAGGAAAGAATATACAAAACAAAGCAGTATGAACATGGCCTGAGGAAACCTGTTCATTTGTATGCTAATGAAAGCACCTGTGCCTATATGCACAGACACACACACCATCAACCCCGCCCCCAACACACATACAGATACAGAAATCAAAAAGAACTGACACCCAATACCGATTGCTTAAGTAAAGGAGGGCATATTATATGGCACAGTATAAAACCTCAATAACATGGCAATAGCAGGTCTGTTAGTGCCCTCATTTGAGGTTATGAAGAGATGTAATAAAGGGTGGCTATTGCCCAGCTTCAACTGTCAACCACGTGAGAAGATGGAAGAGTAGGAAAGATGGAGGCCCCCAATGTCTGTATTTGTGATAAAGTTAACGTTGGAGCCAGTGGCCTGTATCTCTGGGTAGGTTGGCTTCTGCATGCTGCCCATGAAGGTCCCTGTCACAGAGTTGAATCATCAAAGAAGGTCCTGCTTTCTATGTGAAAACTGATTCCTAAGAGGAAGGGGAAAGGAAAGGGCCCACCCAGTTTTGTCTTGCAAGCTCATCCCACTAGGAAGCATGCCTCAAGAGGCAGGGGCATGCTAACAGTAACGGAATACCCTCCATGTAAGAGGAAATACCAAAGGGGGAGCACAGGTTCTCCCGAAGCTTTAGCTTGAGATTTAATCAGCTGTGGCTGATGGAACAATGGTCACAGGGGATAAGTCAAGCTATGGCAATGGGAGGCAAGTTTGTGGATAAACTCAGTGTACTGTCATTCTTGGTTCTGTTTCTTAGATCTTTGAAACGTCTTCCCCTTCTTGAAGTTTTTCTCCCTTATTAGCCTCCGAGTCTTCATGGAAGACCCATCTTGCCCACTGTCACCAGTGCCTTTTCCCCTGGCACTTCCCCATCTTTTCTCATTGCTGTGACACAGCCCCCAATAGAAGCAACCCAAAGAAAGAAGGGTTTATTTGCTCACAGTTGGAGCTTACGGTATAGTCCATCATGGTGGGGAAGGCGTGGAGGCAGGAGCTTGAGGTGGTCGTCGGTCACACTGCATCAAGTCAAGAAGCGGGGAAAGATGAATACTGCTGCTCGTATCTCTTTCTTCTAAATATTCAGTCATGAACCGTACCCCATAGAATTGTGTCATCACCTTTGGGGTGTCCAAGCACCCAAGTGGTGGCTCTCAACTGCCACAACTCCAGTTCCAAGGGATCTTATGCTCCCCTCAGGCCTCCCAGAGCACCCAAGCATGCACATGGTGCACAGACATGCATCCAGGCAAAACATCCTCACACACATAGTAATGATGATGGTGGTGATGATGATTCAGTATCTGATAGATACCGAAAACTTCATAAATATTTTCTCATTTCTTACCTCCTGGCAATGTGTTTTGGCTTTCTTTTAAAAAATACAATATTTTCATTCTTTTTCTTTTTGTGATTTTACAGAGTTAGGATTTAGAGAGTTGGTAAAAGTTGTTGGTTTAGGAGGTTGGTAGAAAGGATAATTAATTAGTAAGTACTGATTTTTTTAATTTTTTTCTTTTATTTATTTTATTTTACAATATTATTCAGTTTTACATAACAGCCACAGATTTCCTTGTTCTCCCCCTTCCTGCCCCCCTCCCCTTCCCCCAGCCCACCCCCTAATAATTTTTTAAATTAAAAAATCCTCTTTTATTTGGTTTAGTATATTTCAGTGAAAATTAACGTCCCAACAGTAGATATTGGGGTTTTAATCAGAGATTTTATTCTTCTGGTTCGCTCATATAATAATAATGGTTAATGACAATTTGAAGTAAAATTTTCAAGATTAAAAAGGATAATCACATTGAGGTTTAAAGAAAATACAGAGGTAGCTGAAGTATGGAGAATGCCTCCAGTTATGAGAATATGCACTGCTGTTACTGCTGAGCCTGAAGTGGGTAGTTTTCAGAGAACCATTTACATGCCTTTCACAACGGCTTAAGCTGAATGGCACTTCTTTCAGGAGATACAAGTGTGTACAAATTAACTACTTTAAATAAATCATACAAAGAGAGCCTTGTATCTTGATCCCCACACATTTTAAGCCTCAGGTACTAACTTGAGTGTTTCCTGTAACAATATGACGATGTCTTTGAAGTAATTAAATGTTCCAAGTATTTGGTTTCTCTTTAGTCTTTTTCCCCTGATTTGGTTATAAGACCCTTAAAGAGGGGAATTTTAGAGTTCATTTTTTCTTTTGATTAAATAGAAATAAGAGAGGCCAATTAGAATGCTTCTGGACTGGGAGATTTTCTACTGTATACAAAATGCCCATTATTGCTGAAATCTAATTTTTAAATTCATTTGTCTAGATCAGAATGGCAAGCAGAACTCGGTGAAGATAGAAACGTTTTATAATATACTCTATTGGTTACGGCAGCCATTAGCTACAGGAGGCTATTGAGCACTCAAAATGTGGTCAGTGAAGCTGAGGAGCTGAATTTAAATTTTATTAATTTGATTTAAGTGAAACTTAAGGAGCTGCATGTGCCTAGTAGCCACTCTTGGGGACCCATAGCATTTCTCTTCCGTTTTAGATGTAGTATGGACACGAACCTGGGAATGATGACTTCAATTTGAAATTACTTGCCATATGTCATAAACAGTGTTGAGTACCTCCTGAGTCTGTGTACCTGATGTCAGAAATGTTTCCTTTGGGCTTCCCGACTCACCTTTAGAGCAAGGTGTGGTGACCTGAGATGTGCCATTCTCTACACTTGTGTGAACATGGCCTTGCTAGCAGAGACCTTGTTAGTCCAAGAACAGGCTTGTTTTAACCTGAGCTTCAGGCCTGGCTGTGGGAGACACATCATGTACTTTACTAGGCCTTCAGGGCGAGTGTTATTTTACTAGCCATGAGCTCTGGCATTCCTTGGAGAATGAGGCATAGTGAAATCCCCTTAAAGAGATCGCGTGGTGTGATTAGTCTGGCCCCTTGTCACAGATTCATTCTTTCAAGTTGCTCTCCTGTCTTAATTCTTCTAACAATAAGTCTTTGGTAGAAAAATTGAACAGATCTTCACAAATACTCAATCCTTCGCTCCTCCATGCTTTATTAAGATATACTGTGACAATTCTATACACTGCATTGTTTTGATGCATGCATGTATTGCAGTGTTTTGATGCATGCATGTATTGCAGTGTTTTGATGCATGCATGTATTCCAGTGTTTTGATGCATGCATGCATGTATTGCAGTGTTTTGATGCATGCATGTATTGCAGTGTTTTGATGCATGCATGTATTACAGTGTTTTGATGCATGCATGCATGTATTGTGGAATGATTATCATCTCACAAGGTTATCATGTGTGTATTTATGTATGTACATATTTCTGTTTGTGAGGAGAGGTCAGAAGCCAGCCTTGGGTATGTAATTCTTCAGGAACTGTTTGCCTTTTCTAAAGACACAGTCTCTCACTGGCTTGGAGCTTGCCACGTAGGCTAGGTTGGCTGGCCAGTGAACCCCAGGGATCTGTCTATCTTTACCTCCCCAGCACTGGGATTGCAAGTATCTGCCATGCCTGGTTGTTTTGGGTGGGTTCTGAGGATCAAACTCAAGTCCTTGGGATGTCATAGAACACACTTTACCAACTGAGCCATCTCTCCACCCCCATAGTATCAAATGCAGTATTACTAATTCTAGTCACATACTGTGCATTGGGCCCCAAGAACTTATTTATCACATAACTGTGGGCCCCGGACCTACATCTCTGTATTTCTTCCATTCCAATCCTTAGTGACTAACCCTTTAATCTCAATTTCTGTAAGTGAGATCGTGCAGTCCTTGTCTCTTTGTGTCTGTCTTATTTCACTTATGTAATGTCTTCTAGCTTTATCCACACTGTAAACAATAGCAGGCTATCTTCCCCTTGTAAGGCTCTGGATCATTCTGCACTTTGTGTATGTGTGTCGCATTACATTATCCCTTCATTTGTTGGACACCTGAACTAATTCTATATCGTGGCTATTATGAATAGTGAGTACTACAGTAAACATCAGTGTTTTGCTATGTGTTTCCTATGATGAATTCATTTGGTTTTGGTATATAGCAAGGATTGAGAGAGTGGGATCCTATGGTAATTCTGGTTTTAGTGTTTTAAAATAACTGTCATCCTGTTTTCTATGGTGTCGAGACCAGTTTACTTCCCACGAACAGTATATAAGCGCTCCCCTTTCCCACATTCTTTTTTTACAATACCCCGTGTTTTGACTTGGAGAGTATGTAACTAACAGGTGTGAGGTGATGTCACATTGTCGTTTTGATTTGCATTTCTCTGATTAGTAATGGTGAGCATTTCTTCCCATTCCCGCCAGCCATTTGCATTTTTTCTTTGGAAAAATATGTATTCATATCCTTTGTCCATTATTTTAATGGAAAAGCACCTTGAAATAGGAAAAAATGTTTTACAAATGAAGGTAGTGTTTATATCTAAAATAATTATGGAACTGATGCAAGTCAATAGTAGAGATCCCAAGCAACATGATTTTACAATAGTCAAAGGATCAACTTTTTCTTCTGTTTCTAAAAAGGTATCTTACCTTCTGGAAGGGGGCAGCATGGCCCATGAAGACTTCTGCGGGCATGTTGGTAAAATGAACCCAGGAGACCTACAGGTATGGCCATGGCAGGGGCTTGCTGATTGGTTAGCAGTCTTAGATGGTGTATGTTTGATCTTGCCTGTTTCCAGTACAATAACCATCCTTCCCACTTCTCTCCTACTCATACCTTGATCTCTCCTGTCTTCGTTTCTTTTCTGTTGCTATGACAGAATACCCCGACAAAAACATCTTGAAGAAGAAAGAGTCATTTTTAGTTCACAGTTCATAGTGTTACCAGGGAAAACAGGGATCTCTCTTGTTGGTTTTCAGTCTCACTGATAAAGAATTAAAAAAAAAAAAACCAACCAGACTCAGATGGAAGCTTGAGACAGTTTATTAGCATTTGAGGGAAAAACAACAGACCCGGCAAGCTATGAAACTTAGCGCTGTCAGCAAGATGCAGACAGAGAAGCTGAGAGAAAGTCTTTTGAGTTGGGGTCTAAGAAAGCTCAGCATATTGGCCAGCAGCTGCATGTTGGAAGGGGAGAGGCACTTCAGAGACAGAGTGAGAAAGTCCAGAGGATCAGGGAAGCATGCTTAGGCTTTTGGTCAGTATCTGAAGAAGAGATAGAAGGAAAGAAAGGAAGCTACGTTTTTCTGAGTTAGAATTCAGAAAGCAGGCAAGCTCAGGGGTGATGATCGGCATTTTCCTGAGGGAGGGGCTTCTGTGGTGTATAAGTGCATCATCTCATTAAGGGGATAATTATTCCTCCCACCTCCTTAGCCTGTCTTCTGGTGAATTAGCTTTCTTGAGGAATGGTCTTGTGGCTACATGACTGACAGGTCCAATTGGATTCTTTTTTTTTTTAATCTGTTTGTTTTTTCTTTTTTTTAAGGATTTTTTTTATACATTTTACATACCAGTCACAAATTCTCCTTCTCCTCCCTCCTTCTGCCCCTCTCACCTTCCCCCCAAACCACCCCCTATCCCTTCTCCAACAAGGCAAGGCCTCCCATGGGGAGTCAGCAGAGCCTGGTACATTCAGTAGAGGCAAGTCCAAGCCCTTCCCCCTGCCTCAAGGCTGTGCAAGGTGTCCCACCATAGGTAGTGGACTCCCAAAAGCCTGCTCATGCACCAGGGATGGATTCTGATCCTACTGCCAGGGGCCCCTTAAGCAGATCAAGCTACACAACTGTCTCACTGGATTAATTCTTAAGGAAGGAGAAGCAGTATGTAATGTTCCAATCTTTAAGGACAATTAGAATGCCATGTTTCTATCAAGGCCGGGGTAAACTCAGATACCATTCTTTTGATGGGATGAAGTAGCTTTTCCTTAATGGACTTCAACAGAACCCTGAAACCTCCCCCTCGTCATATAGTATTTTAAATTTTAGGAAGGGGCAAAACTGATACTTTTCTTTCAGCAGTACTACCAGGGAAAAAAGTGTTTGGGAGCCAAAGCTGACCATGAGGGAGGAATCCCTCTTCAGTGTTTTACAAGGGTCCTAATGCCAGTCTAGCTACATAACAAAGGTATAGTCCATCATGGCAGCAAAGTCCAGGCTCCAGGAGCTTGAAGCAGCTGCTCATATCACATCCATAACCAGAAACAGAGAGTAATGAATGCATGCTCAGCTCACTCTCTCCATTCCATACAGTTCAGAATCCCCTGAAAAAAAAAAAAAGCCCTGCCTCAGTAAAGATGGTATTACTAATCAGTTGACACATCAAAATAATCCCCACAGGCATGCACAGAGGCCCATCTCCCAGGTGATTCCAGATTCTATCAAGCTGAGAACACTAGCCATCTTACCCCCCTTTCTGGGTATTCTTCTATGCTGCCGGGAAACCAACACAGATCTCCCGTATTCTGTTCTCATCTTTTCCTTGATCCCTCAATCACTGTTTCTTGTGGTGCTGGGGATCAGATGCAATCTTTATGGTATTTCATTTCATTTATCTATTATTTATTTGTATGTGTATGCAAGCACATGCCGTGGCACATGTATAGCCCTCAGAGGACAACTTGTGGGAGTCGGTTCTCTCCTTCTACCAAGTGGATCCCCAGGATCGAACTCAGGTTGTCAGGCTTGGCAGCAAGTGCCTTGACCTGCTGAGCCATTTCAGTTTTGGATATCACCAGTCACTTCTTAGTGCTCACCCAGTGGTTCTGTTGTCATTGTTTTGTTTGTTTTTACTTTTCTTAAAGTGTAATCAAGAGTGACTGTCCCAACTGCCATTCCTTTCTCAATTCACGGAAGCCTTAGTTGGTCTGTCTGCATCCTTCCCTTCAACCTGTATTGAAGCTCTTCGGGTAGTGATCATTTATGATGTCCCTACTGCCAAACTCCGCACTTGAAGACCATTTCAATTCAGTCCTTCTAGACTTAGGTTCTGCACTTGTGACACTTCATTATTTATGTTTCAATTCATTTGCATGGTTCAGTGTTGTCACTTAAGTTAGTAACCCAAGGTCAGGCAAGGTGGCTCTCACCTCTAATCCTAGCCCTCAGGAGGCAGAGATAAGTAGACCTCTGCGAGTTCAAAACCAGCCTGGTCTACAGAGTGAGTTTCAGGGTAGCCAGGTTACATAGTAAGAGCCTATCTCAAAAAAGAAAATAAAAGATAATAACTCAAACTGTGTGCCCCTGAAACTGCTTAGACCATTTTGGTCAGTTGAGTTGGTAGGAGCTCTATATGAGACCATTTACATATTTTGTGGGATGCAAAGTATACATATTGGATCATGATGTTTCAGTGAAAATGAAATAAAAAACAAAAGCAAAAGGAAAATGGTATCACAAAAGAAAAAGGAACCTCCCACTAGAGCAGAACATAAAACAGAGTTTGCTCAAAGTGGCAGACAGATAAGAACCCCAGGGCATGTCCTGCTCATGGAATTGGTCACTTCTGCTGTTCACCTCATCAGGCTGCCCCTGTAGATGCTGGTCCACACTTAGACCGTCACAATTTCATAGCTGGGACCAGGGCATGGCAGTTTATGTCTATAATCGCAGAATTTGGAGGGATCAAGAATTTAAGGCCAGCCTGAGTTACATAATGAAATCCTATCTCAAAGCAACCCCAGTAACAACAATAACAAAACAGACTTAGGCATAGTATCTTTCAGCTTATTCAACCTTTCCATCTCCATGAGCTCTTTGAGATCATTAGTATTTTGCATCCCAGTTTTAAATGAGAGGATAGGGATTTAAAGGTATTTAAAAGTGAAAGGGTATTAGAGTTATTTGAAAAGCCTCAGAGTTAGTAAGTGATGGGAATGGAAAGAGAATCATGTTCTCCTCATCCAAACCCTGTGAGTGGGCTGTTTTAAGTATTACCAAGCTATTTTTTATCTAAAAAGTTAATCAAGAGATTGAAACTATAGGAGGGGGGTTTGAGTTGGCTATTGTTATGATACATTGTATACATGTAAAAAAATTGTCAAAGAATAAATAAAATAAATAAAAATACCAAGAGAGGAATTTTTATGGAGGAGGAAAATAGAAAGAGATCTTTGAGGAACACCAATAGCTATTGTCAGACAGAAAAATAATGGATCTCCATTAGAAGGTTCTATCAGCCTTATCCAACAGAGTAGAGAGAAATATGTTTAGACTTAATGAAGTAAAAAAAAATCTCCAAAACATGTAGTAGTTTTCTTTCAGGTCCTCATACTTGTCTCAGACTCTTGTTCTCATGCTGCTGTTCCCTTTCTCTGGACTCCTCCTGTTTCTTTCCACTAGTCCATGCTTACTCTGGGTTTCAGCCTGATGGTAGAGCCAAGGCAACTTGAGCCACTACATGGACTCTGGTAGAATTGTCATTCTTCACCGTACCAACCAAGCACAGAGATAATGGCAATGATTAGTTTGATCGGTTGTCTATAAGGATTTTTTTCTCTCCAAGGGCTGGGTGGGAGATGCTGCTGCTGGCCTGCTTCTGAGTTTAGGTGGTAACAGTTCCCATGTATCCATACATAGCACCCCATCTGAAGTGCATGCATTGGGCCTCTCTCAGAGGCTCCTGGTCACTGAGGGATGCCAAATGTAATCTAAATGTCTTAGTGTTTTCTGTCTTCTGTGCAATAATTCTGAAGTTTATCTAGAGGATTCCCAGTGGGACTAAGTCCCAGGCCTCCACAGCTGGGGCTTGCTCATGAACACTCCTCTTTGGCTCTCTCCTTTGCCCTTCTCACCCTTCCCTCCTCCCTCCGTTTTGCTTCCTGTATCACCTTTCAAATAAACAACCTGTATGTAGGTCCCTGATTCAGTGTCTTCTATGGGTGAGTCCAAACTAAGACAAGCAGGAAATGGATGTATCATGTTCTAACCCTGCATCCTCAGAGTCTGAGGCTAGTGCCTAGAGGAGGCCTCCCATATGTTCTCAAACATGTAAACAAACACTTGAAAAATCTGCCCAACAGCCAGAGACAACTGTTTCTTTCAGTAGTAAGGGCTCCATTACTGTAATTGTACGCCATTGTACAAGCTTGCCATTTCCAGGGTAGTGGATGCTGAGGGCTTTCCCATGTCTATTTAGTCTCACATATATATTCTACAGTGTTGTGTGATATTTTGTTTGTGTTCTGACAAATAAAGCTTGCCTGGATATCAGAGGGTGGAGCTAGCCACTAGTTAACCATTAACCATAGAGAGGTCTGGAGAGCTGTACAGACAGGAGACCAGAAGTAATAAGGCTGGGCAGAGACAGGAAGTGATAAGGTGAGGTGGAGACAGGATCGCGGCCCTTTTGGTCGGAGGATTTGGAGAGGTAAGAAGTGACTGGGGTTGCTCCTTTGCTTCTCTGATTTTTCAGCTTTTACCCTGTTATCTGACTACCTGGTTTTTATTGGTAAGGCTAATTAGGATCACCCTTCACTCCAGCTGATGGGCAATGTTATCCGTTGATGGCTCATTGCTGCATTCCTCCCTAGGAACTGTACTCTGTGGCAGGAAATTGACTTTCTCAAGGTTGTGCTTCCTACTCAGGAGCAGTCCTATGATAACTCTTGGCTGATTTCAGGAAAATTCTGAAGATTTAGCCCAACTGCACATCTCCCTGTTGGGTTGGCTAGGCCTGTAATGCAACTGCATTGCTGACTGCCCTTTTCCTTGCCTAGTACTGTTTCTTACCCTTCTTAAGTTAAATCACACCCTAGTACTATCTGGCTGTAACTCCTTATCTTGGAGCTCAACATGAAACTCGATCATCACAGAAAGGAGTCTTTCCAATTCTGATGCTTTAATTCAAAAACTAGGAAGGCTTTGGAAATGGGAAAGAGCCCCAGGACCTTGGTTATTTCTTGAGATGCCCAGGCACTCTGACCACAGCTCCTGTTGGATGTACCACAGCATTGTACTTGTTGCATGCACAGACTTGTTAGGGGCTGTGTTACATTTAGCCTCTTGTTCTGGTGTTTGCAGTGGATGACTGCAGGCCGGGGCATTCTGCATGCCGAGATGCCCTGCTCAGAGGAGCCAGCCCATGGCTTACAGCTGTGGGTGAATCTGAGACGCTCAGAAAAGATGGTGGAGCCTCAATACCAGGAACTGAAAAGTGAAGAGATCCCAAAACCCACCAAGGATGGTGTGACAGTCGCTGTCATTTCAGGAGAAGCCTTGGGGATAAAGGTAAGTCATGCCTATTGCGTGTCTCTGGAACATGAGATGTATGGTGACATCAGGGAGGCTCTAGCTTCATTGTCAGCTCTCAGTTTATCATCGTATGTGTCCCAGTGGATGGACTTGCTTCAGAGGTATCAGGATAAGAGAAACCTAAGGGAACCCAGAAATGGTTTGTTTTGTGCAAACTCATAGAGTTGGAATACATGCAAGAAACTATGCTCATATGAAGAGTTTGATTGAAAAGAAGTTTTCTAGGTATATCTTAATGCATGTGCAGATTTACTCTAATTCCTATTATTTTTAAGTCCACTCTAATCATGCAAAGTCATTGCTTTTATGATGCAACCAAAAACCAGGATCAGTGTCACCCCAGATTCATGCAAATAATTTATGCCCCACTTAGTAAGCAAGGAAAGCACAGGGCAACATTGCAGGCTTTTAAGACCAAATTAGCTGTTGGGACTGGAGAGATGGCTCAGCAGTTAAGAGTACTTACTGCTCTTGCAGAGGACCTGAGTTTGGTTCTCAGCACCCACATTGAAACACAACCACCTATAACTCCAGCCCCAGAGCTTCTGACCCCTCTTCTGGCCTTCATGGGTACCCACTCCTACGTGCAGACACACACATATATAAAAAAATAAAATTTTTTTTTGTTTTAGTTTTTCAAGACAGGGTTTCTCTGTATAACAGCCCTGGCTGTCCTGGACCTCACTCTGTAGACCAGGCTGGCCTCAAGCTCACAGAGATCCGCCTGCGTCTGCCTCCTGAGTGCTGGGATTAAAAGCATGTGCTACCACCGCCCGGCTAAAAATAAAATCTTAAAGAATAAATCAAAATTCGCCGTTCATTTAACTTATATGGGACATGCTTTGTATGTTTTAACTGAGACTTAACTGAGACTTGGGTTTGGGTCTTACTTAATTACTGTTTGGGTTAGGGTCTTACTTTTTAATGAAATAAAAATCAATTTATGAAGTAGGTATGACAGGTATTATAGTAATTGCCCACTGGAACAATTTTCTGGGAGGGCTAAGGAGCCACACAGCAGCCAGTCTGTGGTAATGGTGAGCTTGGTCACAGAACCTGGTAGGTGGGGTGCCTAGAAGCTGACCCTGAGATGCAGATTCCTGTGCACAAAGTTTTAAAGGAAGTGCTCCTAGGGAAACAGTAAAGAGAATCTGGATGAAGTAGGAAGGATGCTAAGCAGTGTCACTGTCTTGGGCATAGATCGGAAGAGAGGCTTTAACCAGACTCCATTGGGGACTCTTCAGGATCAGCATGTCACAGGCAAGACAGCAGGGTTTTCATGCTCCCTCATCAAACAGTCATTCATTTGGCCTTTGATTCTTGAGTGGAGGGTAAAAATAGCAAAGGGAATCTGTTAAGGGGCCTGGAGATGTGGCACCTGGCAATAAGAACATCAGAATATTGTAAAGTACTTTGCTATTCTCCCAGTGAGCAACTAGCACTTGAGACGATTTTAACTAGTACCTTAAGTGTTCTAGTTTCCTCTCTGTTGCTGTGGTAAAGACACTCTGACCAAAAGCAACTTAAAGAAAGAGATGGGTTTATTTCAGGTCACAGGTCACAGTTCATCACTGAGGGAAATCAGGAAAGGAAATCAAGCAGGAACCTAATGCAAAAACTGTGGAGGAACACTGTTTGCTGGCTTCCTCTGGGGCATGCTTCGCTAGCTTCTCTGCACAGCACAGGACCACCTTTCCAGAGAATGGTGCTGGCTACGGTGGGCTGCCCTACTTTATCAATTACCAATCAAGACGATCTCCCACACACATGCCCATGGACCAATGGGATCCAGGCGATTCCTCAGTTGAGCTTCCCTTCTTGGATGACACTAGGCTGTGTCAAGTTGATGATGAGAGCTTACTATGACATTTGGTAAATTTTCATCATTTTATGTATGTGTGAGAATAATGGCTTGTCAGTGGCTATTGAATAATAATCACCCAATGTCACACATTGCATAATTATCAGGTGGGCTTGGATTGTAGCCTGGGACTCACTATTTTTTCTTTAGCCTTCATTGAAACCACAGTTCTAGATTTAAAGCACACACCAGTATATGTTTGCTTTTATTTGTGCCTCAGGTGCACACAGAAATAATCGAAGGAAAAAATAAAAAGCAGTGTTTGCTCACAGGTACGCACATGTGACTGCTGTTCACCATCCTCTAGTGTGCTTGGAAATGGCCTTTCTTCGGGTTTCTGTGACTGATTTGTTTCTATTCATCAAACATGGAGCCTTCCCTTTTCAGCTTTTTTGAAATTTCCCCACCTTCATTCTGCCGAGGAGAGTTAAGACCTCGTGAGGTCTTCTGATGAAAGGCCAGAGAACATCACTAAGGTGCACCAGACAAGCCCACAAGTGAAATTGCCAACCCTTCTCATTATTTTCTCTGTTACCTGTTTCCAGGACTCTCACGTTCTAGAGGCATGCATTCAAGGGACACTGAGGTGGATGTTGAAGGGTAGGAGACTCCCTCTCCACTTCAACCAAAGCTCAAGACCTTGCTTGAGTCTATTAGAATTGTCTGGGAGATTCCATTTAGAATACAGGTGTGACACCAGGCAACTGTAATCCCAGCACTGAGTAGGCTGGCACAGGAGGATCTTGAGTTTGAGACCAGTCTGGGATACATAGTGAGACCCTGTCTAACCCTCTATCCCCAAACAATTTGTCTGTCGGGAGCAAAAAGGAGAAATCAAACTGGTGAATTAATAAATAAGCAAAGCCTGCAATATCATAAATTCATAGAGTTTGCAATGGTGTTTCATTTACAGAAAACACAGGGAACTTCTGAGGCTGGAGTCAGTTCCAGTTATAGGCATTTTAAAGCACACCTAGCAGACCATGTGATGTTGCAATTGCAGCCAAGGCTTAGAGGCCAGAAGTAATGTTTTAACTTAGTGAAATGATGTCTTGGTAGCTGCTGGCCTCACTTATTTCCTTTTGTTGAGTAAAATTTCTGAAGCAAATTGTATTTTCCAAAGTAAATGATTAGTCTTTATTTTGAGGGCATTTTAATGAGGATCCATTGGAACCTTGAGCAGCCTTGAGTTTCTAGAAGCACTGTGGATCCATGGACCCACAGTGGATTCTGGAGACTCTGGAGACCGGCAGAGTAGGCAGCAAGGCGCCTCATCATGCACTAGCTGTGTGGACTGCGTGGTGTTAAGGAAATGGCTTGATTTCTCTTTGACTCAGTTTTGTAACTACTACATAGGTGGTAGCTGTTGATATTATGTTGATTGTTTTATGTCAACTTGGGTAGAAATGGGGTGGAGATTTATGTATGTCACCAATGCCAAAGAGAGTGTTTTGCAATTTGGAAAAGGTAGTTAATCTGCTTTGAAGGACGGTCACCAGGGAGAGTCATTGCAGAAATGAGAACTGTTGGCTGTTTCTTTGTGGGTCTGCTAAGGGACCGAGTTTTGCACATCACAGCACTGGATATCCTCTCACCAATGAATGATTCAGCCTGAAGTGATCTAGAGCTACCATAAAGAGGCACTAAAGATAGTTTTGCATCAGCAACATTATTTGGGGCTAGAGAGATGGCTCAGTGTACTGCTGTTACAGAGCAACTGTGTTTGGTTCCCAGTACCCACATCAGGTGGTTCATAACTGCCTGTAACTCTAGCTCCAGGGGATCAGGTGCCTTCTCCTGGTTTCCGAGGGCACATGCTCTTACATGCACATGTCCCCATGCACACACACATATACAAAGTTAAAATTAAAAAAGAAGATAATTTTAAGTTAGATTACAAAGTGATACGAAGAATATACCTTACAAAAGATTGATCTACTTTTAATCAACATAGGCTCACCAACAACTTCTGCCATAGGTAAACTTTCTGCAAAATGGATTTGGTGACTACTGCAATGCAGTTGACTAATATTGATATGGATTGCCTGACAGGTTTGGACAAAGTAAAGATTGTGGTGTAACAGATCTGCAGTGAAGTCTGAGATTACACAGTTCTAAGAGGCTTCTGAGTGCTTCTCTGCTGTTGCCCAGGAACCACTCTAGTTTATGTAATGGGCATGACATCCAGGCCAGGGGAATATACTCATCCTTAGGAAGTTTGATTTGGCTCTTGTAGATAATGTTAAATAGTTCAATCCAGTGACTTCTAGCAAATCCTGCTTAATTATTCTAGACATGAGTACTTATATCTGCAAAAAAGGGGGTGAAGAGTGCCAATGTAAGATGCTATAAGCCTTACAATTAGCAAAGCCATCTTTTTAATGTGCCCAAAGGTAACTCTGTCACTTTTTCCCAGGGTGTCTGTGTCTAATCATTTACACAGACCTTGAAATGCCATAGCCAATTCTGAGCAAGAGTCTGCCAGGACAACACAGTCTAGAGTAAATGTTGAAACGGGAGAGAAGAAAAATGGGATAGTTTGAATAGTTTCTGTCACTTTTGAAAGGACACAATTGCATGTTTGCTTCATGAGAGTATGCAGTTTTCCAAACCCCATTCCATCCTTATCAGTCAGCCAATCCACTGTATTTATTGCCAGCTCCTTTTGGAACACAATGCTGCCCCCCACCCAATGCCTCTCTTTGACTCCTGCTGCTCTACATTCCGTTATGTCAAAAACAAGCCTTAAGGAAGTCAAAGAAAGACAATCTGGAGCCAGGTGGCCAGAGTTCAAGGTTAGCTTCACTACTGAAACACGTTGGAGAAATTATTTAAGCTAGCTGAACCTCAGTTTTCTAATCTGTAAAATGGAGATGGCCATGGTAACCACATTAGAGGGTTTTTAGGAGGAGTAAATTGATTATATACACCCCTCCCCGTGTGTGTGTGTGTGTGTGTGTGTGTGTGTGTGTGTGTGTGTGTGTGTGTGTTGGCAAAGAGTAAGTCCTATATGGAAGTCCTATGTGGTCCTATATATGCTATTTTCATGCCCTTTCTAAAACCATAGATAATGTCATGTGGCCTACAGATACAACATAAAGAGTCTTCTTTTGGA